AAAACGCTTAAAATAGTTAAGAAAAAGTTAACAACACAAAATAAAATACCTTGCTCACCCTAGCCATCGCTTCCATAGCACTGAATACGAAATAAATAAAGCCCACGCCAATTACCTTCAAATGAACAAATTTATTTCCATGTAAATTTTCTCTCTTTATTTACAAATGATAAGCAAAAAGTTACAATTCACTTCAAAATTAAAAATTGCTTGTTCCGTAGGATTAATCAATGAATATTATACAAGTAAATACGCAGACTAAAAAACAATACGAAAAAAAGCAAAAGTTGACCTGACTGATAATATTGCCAAGTCTTGGTTTCACAACACCATAGCCGAGTGAAACTATTACAATCAATACACGAGCCATTGTTCGTTTCAAACATGACACTAATTCTGCTATCTAGATCAGCTCAACGGAGTAGATAATTACTGTACTTTGCAAACAAAATTTTCAACAATTAATATATCCGAATGAAAAAAATGTATTGAGTAATCAACAAATCAATTCCATGTCTTGAGACATAAAAGGAAGAGACTGAAAAACGATTCCATCGAATTTTAACAAGATCATCAATTACCTCAATGAAACCATGAACAGTAGAGCCCTGTTCATTCATTGTTGCATATTCCGAATAAAACATTCCTTTCTCGATCATTCCAACAACGATCACAGCACCTAAATTTATCCATATATACATATACATCATTTCAAGATTTTCAGATTTTGAAAGATGCTCAAGATGACTCATTGCTATTGCAGCCAGTACGTCGTAAAAAATGTAAAATTTTACCGATACAAAACTGTATTCTCAAAATATCCATCCAGTAACGTAAGCAACATATTAACCTGAAAAAAGAATAAGTTTTCATACGGAAAAAAGAGGAGAGCAATGACGGAAGCATGGAGTGCACATTCTAATTTCTCAATATAAATATGAAATAAGAATCAAAAAGGAAATTATATAGCTGCTGGTTGACATCACATAGCAAAAAACAATCTCATTTATTTTCTTAATAAGAACAAAGAACAAATTTTTAAACTTGAAATCAGAATTTCAAATGATTTTCCGTGCTCCTAACCAGAATTTTTTTCTACAAAAAATTGAAATCTAATGAATGGCTAAACTAACAAATGAAAATTCCAATCAAATATAACGGAAAAAGATCAATTACCAAATGATAGCTAACGTAGCATAAAAAAGCCACATAAAAGCATAAAATCTCAGAAGTGGGTAATCGATTGCACTTAAATGCCCATAAGGACTACGCCATTGCACATCTACTGTTAAATTGTGGACAAGTGGTACTGAAATCAAAATATGAAACAGCACTAGGCTTGCTAAATAATAAAACAAAACTTTAGTTAGTTAAGAGCAAGAAATAACAAAACTACCTTCAGCGAGAACTTTTTTTTATTATTCAGGAAAGATTCCACTGTTGGTCTAGAATTCAAGGAAGATTTCAAAATGTCGTCCTTTAACAATTCTGTTTAAGAAAAAGTCCAGTCAATGGTTATTAAAAACAAACCTTGAGTAGTCTTCACAAATAAATTGGAATTTATAACAGTAAATTTGATTACCAAAAAATATATGCCATCTGCTGGAAGCTTCTGCACTGGATGCCAAGAACTGCAAATGAAATTTCGAAAACGAAAGCAACGAAAAAATCTTACAAATGACTCTGGTTTGTTAAATTTCTTTTCCTTATAAATACAGTGACACAACCCAAAAAACTAATATGTTTATTGAAAACACAGTCATTTCCTCACCTAAGAGTTGTTTTAGTGCCACCATCCAGTGAATCACCATTCAGACCAGCGAATTCACGTTTAAATCTTCTTTCTATTTGTTGTTCTCGACCAACAATGTGTCGATTCCGTATAGAATGTGATGTGGTTGCACTTAGGATATTCGAGTATTTGGAACTTGCCTGGGACGTATACAGAGAAAAAGGACAAATATAAAAATACAATAGCATGAAAACCAATTTATGTTCATTCCATTTAAGCGCATACAGAAAGAAACAGCTTATTACCCTAGCATTCAATTTATCGAGGAAAACTTAAATATTATTTGCTGATCGGAATGTCACTTTTCCATACCTCCTTGACATCATGTACTTCCAATGGCCGACGTGGACGCTCATCTTCCTGCACGAGTACCATGCCATGTGACTGATGACAATTGAACTGCTGTGGCTGAGATTTGTAGAACAAAATCTTCGTGTAATCGTATCCGGAAGGTATCTCCCACTCATGTTCAAAATAGAAATTCTAAAATTATTATAGGAACTGAATGAAAAACTAGGAGAAAGAACAAATAAACTAAATTCATAATTCAGTATTATTGAGTAATTATAATATTGAGTCATTATTATTGAATCATTATAATAATAAGATTTCGAAACTATTTTTGTTAGAAACTTAAGTCAGCAAGAATAATATAGCAATAACTGCATAAAGTCAAACTGTTGAGTTTCAAATTTCTCCTCGAGAATACAAGCAAAACTGGTACTCACCAACAAATCTTTTACTTGAGCATGTCGACCGGCATCGAAAAATTCCTTATCACATGGGGAACTCCTTATAACATATTGCACTTGAAATGTCAGATCTGAATCATCAACGCACTGAAGACGTATTTCCACTTCAGTACCATTAAGTGCTGACTGTGGAAAACCAACGTATTCGATCTAAATAACCTTCTACAATATTACGTAATAAGTAACAAAACCTGAAATTCGAAAAAAAAATCTAAACAAGTAAGTCATACCGTATCGGCTTTCAGCTGAAGTTTTGTGGATAGAATAGCTGGTGCTAGAAGATGTGACAGACAGCTACCATTTAGAATAATAGCAACAACAAAAAGCCACCAAAATGGGCAATTTCCGAATCGATTTTTAATTTTTAACATCAAGTCAGTGGTCACCGAAACAAAGATGCTAGGTCAAAAAGAATATGACCAGAATGTAAGTTTCCATTCTTTTCAATGCAAAATTGATTCCTGAAGAAAACTCCTAATACTAAGCATTTTAAAAAGTAGTTATTTAAGAAGTTCTGGTCAGATCAAAAAAAAAAAAAAAAAAGCTCTCACTGATTGATATACTTATATGAAATAGCTTTCACTGAAAAAAGCAAGGGAGAAAGAAGGAGATAACGACAGTCTGGACTCAATTTTTCAAACAAAAAATCAAAAAAAAAAGAGCAATCTGGACAAACAAAGAGGAACATTAACTAGCCTTAGCAGTCAAGTGATAACTGCTTCAGTGAAACAATAATAATAATTATTATTATTTCTTATCTACAAAGTGGTCGAGAAACACTGTGTCAGATTTAACATAGCGGGAACTTAGGAGACAATGAAACCTTTGATCTCCCTTCCCTTTCCTTTCAGTCGTTTGAACATCCTGACCAGTAATACTTTAATGATTTCTCGGAAATAGTTATGTTCTCCACATCCCGTCCTACCAGTATGCTTACTGAGTACGCATCCCCGAGACTTAAAGCACACATTACATTAACGCCCTTTGCAATAGAAGTTCAGACACAACTCCAAACCCAGCATTATTTTTCAAAGTGATTCTCCATAAACTGTCTTCGATTAACTTCTATATCATCTTTTACATCGAATATTTCCATAACTCACGATGATAACGTATGGACTGAAGTAAATAGTTTAATGACTCACATCAACAGTTTCAACTAATTGTATATCCTAAGCAGACAGCAGGAACACTTAAATTCTTAGATTAGTCGTTATCTGTGACTTTAGGTTGATTTTATATGAGCTCAGACAAGTTAAACAGCACTCAATGCAACAACACAACCGAACTTATTACTCATACTAAATTTACTGTCTCAACTACCCATGCAAAATTTTTAAACTTGAGCAATGAATAACTGAGCTATTTTTCATATAATAAAGCAGAAACTTAAACAAAGATATAAATAGCAATAACTAATAATAATGGTTAGTAATTTCACAAAAAACTAATTAATGGCAATAATTAATTAGTCAATAATAATGGTTAATTAACGATAATAGTAAAAATTAATGAATTAATAATGGCGATAGTAATAATAATAATAAGCAAACTAATTAATTAATTAATGATAATTAATAATAATAAAGTTGATAATAATAACTAATAATAATAATAATAATAATAATAATAATAATAATAATAATAGTAATAATAATAATAAAATGTACCTTATTTGCATAAACAACAATATGTGAACAGAATCAATAAAAAAAATCCTCCAAATTCACATAATGCCAAAATACATAAATAATGAAAGTAAAACTGTCATAAAACAATTTAGAAGAGGAAATTACTGAGCTTTTCACACTTGATACAGCAACATGTTATGCAGCTGTGGAGAATTGTAAGTAAATATCTCTACTAGTCTCTTTCGAATTAATCTTTAGAATTATGAAGATAACTCTGTTGTGTCCTATTATAACCTAATCGAACACTTTAAAAAGGGAATTTACTTGAAATATAGTTTCCGCAATGTAGCTTTTTAAGCTTTCCATCACAATTTACGCCTTTTGACAGTCTGCCATTTCCCTGACTTCACTTTCTTATCTTTAGTTTCACTTCTACTTTAATAGATAGTTGTAAATAATATTTGGATTCACAATATAAAAAGTTACCTTTCAGAGGAAAAAAAATATGGGTATAAACGTTATAATAAACATAATTTGTTAAAAACGAACAGTGTAAAGCTTATTTTAACTAAAATTAATGAAATAGAACTCACAAAACGAATGCGTAAATTTTTTAAAATTATCAATTTTATAATACAATGATACAGTATACCCCTAATGCTATGCAACATCTTCAAGAAAAGTGAATGAAATTATAATAATCAGATTTTGCCGGAAGGACTCAAAACATTCCTACAAATTTTCTCACCAGCTTTATGTGTTACGAAAAGCCCCTCATCCCATAACGAAAATTTACTATTATTCATTATTAGTATTTCACAAATATCATAATATATCACATCGCTTTTTCTTACGAAATTTGTTACCAGGCATAGAATCACCACCGGGAGTATGTCCTTTCAGTGTACCACCTTTTCTCCGCTTTATTTCGCGCATCAAGTCGTAAAATACCTAAAATTCAAACTTTTGAAAAACAACACTTTTGCATGAAATATTTTAAGAAGATCCACCTAGCCTCATTAAGCATGAATTTTCTAACTTTTTGTCCAACTATTAAGCTACTGATCTCCAACAAACTGCTAACGATACAATGGCTCAAGGTAAAACAATTATCAAAGAACTGAGGAAACCGAAAACATAGCGTCACAAAATGAATGGTTACTATTTGTTGCACATACAAAATACAAGTCATTAGTAAAACTACAAAAGTAAATTTTTTTTAGAATGGAACAGCAAAATTTTATAGCCAATTCAAAGTTTATATCCATCACTGCTGTAAAGAATAGGATTAATCTAAAAATCACAAAAATCATAGGAGGGGACGAAAAGAAATGAAATTAAACACAACAATCAAATATATATTATAACGTTAAAGTATTTCAATAATTGTCTTTACACAAATGACTTTAAAGTATGGTAAATAAGCAAAACAAAAATGATTCCTTTGTGGACAATTTGTTTGAAATTACTCTTATCAAATTCAATTACGCAGTTATCTTTCCGTAATATGAGGGTAATTCTAAAACATTTCATAAAACAAGATCTCAAAAATAGACCAATACCTGATCATTAAAAAACTGAAGTACACATTCGCTACTTTTATTATTTCATAACACTTAGTAACACTTCTTTTCCATCACTACTTCATTAATCACCAGTTATATTTTCACGAAATGTAAGAAAATAATACTTTATCAACATTAATCCTATTTTTGGCAGAAGTTTCAATGTACGGCACATTCCACTGCTCCGCTCTTTGTTGTGCGTGTAATTGCATTATTGAGCGTTCATTTGTCAAATCCGATTTATTTCCAACCAACATTATTGGAACTGATGAATCTGTGGCAGAATTTTTAACGCGTAATATTTGCTCCCTATAAATGAATACAATAACAACGAATTATACTGTAAACAAACCATAGCAACACCACGCTAATGAATAACCAGAGGGTGCTTATCACAACAACCCATGGTCAGTATAGCATCAAAGCAGTGATGATAAATGGAAAAAAGTTATAAAACGGACGCTCATAAAAATAATGAAATATGCAGTAGACAAAAAAAAAGAATGATTATACAAGTGAGACAATGAACAACAGATGAATAACCTGAATTCGTTTGTTGCTTCGAAAGATTCAGTATCAGTTATCGAAAAGACGCAAATAAATCCTTCACCACTTCGGTAATAATTATCTCTACAAATATAACTTATTAGTGAAGTTAAAACTAAATAAAAAACTGAAAAATTTTTTCGCGAAATGAAAATTTATATTTGAAAATACTTTCTTTTCAAAACCTCGTAGAAATACTTTCAATGGACGATAAAGCTCTTAATTTTAATTATAGTCCTGACTGAAAGTCTAAAAAAAGAATGCAGCATTTGCCCATTCACCTGATTGCAGAGTAATCTTCTTGACCAGCGGTGTCGAGAATGTCGATTAAGCATTCCTCACCATCCAATACAACTTTCTTTCGATATGAATCTGCTTTTGTTGGTTCATATTCTTCTACGAACTGCAACAAAGAAATATGAACTGATGAACACGAGCTCTTTGAAAAGCATGACCTAAGAAAATCATAAATTTCTAACTACATCATTTAAAGTATAAAGTCAGTATCCTCATTTTGAAAAAAAGTGATTAATGGAATTACTGAAGGTTTCTGAGTCAGATCTGTATAAATATCACATAATCAGAAAGATGAGCAGTTCAAAACACAAAAGCCAGAACAATGTCTACTTACTATTCCTCAATAACGAAATTTCATTTAGTGAATAATAGTAGGTTGATATATGAGACACTTCACTTAACAGGAGAAAACAAAAAAAATATAACACTATTATTCTTCTTTCATCTGAATAGGATAGACATCTTTATCCGTTTGGTAGAAACTGAAAATGTTGAAAATTCTATTAACAATAAATTCCATACTTCTTCAAATGAAGGTTTTTTTTTTTTTTTTTTTTCAAATAATTCTATATCTTGACTGTTATAGGATGAGAAAAGAGGAACACAAGAACTATATAAGGGACAAATTTGAAGTTAAGGAAAAATTGTGATTTGATCGCTTTTTTGAAGCAAAATTTTATATATTCAGAGTAAATCTTTGCAAAACCGGCTCTTGTGAAGAAATATATTAATGAAGTGACTAAGTAAATATGGCTGGAGCATTTTATCGCCCTCGAATTGCAAAACGATAGAAAACATTCAGCGCTTTCAACGTTCCCATAACACTGTGAAGTATAAAACTAATTTAAGCACAACGAATTAAAATCTTTCTTAAAGCTAAATAATACTGCAAATAAGATGAGCAAATTATTAATAAGTCAATTTTATACAGAATGAACAATTAAAAACAAAATAGAACGTGCTGTCATTGAAAATATAGATCAACCTGTTACTTTCACCTACGATCTGAAAATGCTTGTAATATATCATACAGTCGATTTTCAAAGGCTTTCAATAAAAACTTAGCGGTCCCTTTGAGAAAACAATAATATGCACCTTTTATCTTTATAATATTTTTAAAACGTCGTCCCAAGTAGAAAAATCAAAGAAACATATAGTAAACAAAGGAAAAATTAAAAAGACAAAAAGAGAATATAAATATTCCCGCCAGATCAATCAAACTTCTTTCCTGTGCAGTTAATTCAGCAAGAATTCGCCAAATCCCTTTATGCCGTCTTCTTCGCGGTTTATTTTTATCCACAATCTTATATTACACTAATATTGATGAATTCCTAATAAAGTTTCAGTCTGAACTGAAGTCTAACTGCACAAAACAAAAACAAAAAAACCAAGGAAAACAAGCACGCTTTAAAAGATATCGATGCTTACCGCATGAAAAAAAAAGAAAAAAAAAAAATCTCAGCCATCTTTATACCATCCCTTCTTAGTTTCCTTACAAGATGCTGACATGTCAGAATCCAAATGATAACATTTATTGTCTAATGTTAATCTATAAAACATTCAGCAAGCTAAAAAATATAACAAAATTTCTCTTTCCTCTCTCCATCTCTGCTAAGTACTTTTTCCAATACTCTACTTTATCAAAAGGTAATTCGAGGTCTCACAACAATTCTTGATCGCGTTACATAAAGAATTTAAAAATATGTCAAGGTTTTCTGCATCTTTTCTTCGGACATTCATTATATTTGTATCTTTATAATTATCCTTTGCTGCACTTATCAAACCGTCATTGGCCGATCAATTATTACCTTAAAAAATTAGAGATCTGACAAAATCAAATCAAAAAACTCAAAAGAAAAATGAAGAAAAATGGATGGCTTACATTTTAAGTCCTTAAAACAACACAGAAATTTAGTGAATTTTAAGAATTAAAATCTTTTTCAGAAAAATCAGAATTACATTTTTCAGAAGCACCTGCCTATTACTTCATTTTCTATCTTCCTCTTCTTATACATCCTCGTGCTCCTATCTTCACTTTTCTCCTTAAGCTATTCCTACCTCCCCCAATTTCCTTCATTTTCAGTTAGTAATCAAGAGGCAAGAATTTAGCTACGATGCAAAAAGACACTTCGCATTATTCATCATACGAAGAAAAAACACAACAAAAAAAAACATAAAGCAGGGTCTTGAAACCATCCCATCTGTTTGAATCATCATTTTTTAAAGCAAAAATTGGAAGTATTCAGCAGAAACATATTCGCTGCGTGCATGGAAATAACGGTAATGAGAATGGCGAAGTGAAGCAAGCAAAATAAAGGAATAACAATTACGATACTTGAAGGAAAAAATAGAAACGAGCAAGCTCAAACCGATCCTAATAATTCACAAATATTAATTCGATAAGGAGACCAATTATGTTACCTCATTTATTATTCAAACCATTAGAAGCAAAGATCCAAACGATAAAAGCTGAAAATGAAAAATAAGATCAAGTGAAGAGCTAACCTCATCGTACATGAATTGCAAAGTCAGTGCTGATTTCCCGACACCACCGGTACCAACCATTATTACCTGTAATTAAATCGATTAATGTAAACTTAAATATGTTGAAAAAAGGATAGATTCTGACAAGAATTATCTGATCTCCCAAAACGCTCAAAATGAAACAATTAATCGATTATCTCTACTTTTTACCTTTTCCAAAATAGCAGACTAGCATAGCTTAATCAAGTTTTTCAATTTTAACTTTTAACAATATTCCATAAGTATTTTTATCAGAAGATTTTGACAAGTGAAGTGCAAAGTTAATGAAAAGACCGGATGAATTCTTCCTTTTAGTTAAAAAAAGAAATGGAATCGAAATTTACTGGTCTTGATTTCACGTTTGATAATAATCATATAATATCATGATAGATTAAAACCATCATCAAATATCATTTATATAAGAATGATTCTGGTTTTCTTAAATCGGATTATGAATTTTACACCCTATTATAGTTGTGGATATTTCCAAAAGCAATAACAATCAGAACTCTCTCTACATTTCAATCCTTCAAGCACCACCACAAACATATGCTAAATATCACAACTAATTTCATCTCCTTTCATTCATAACAATTTGTTCCATTCAATGTATACCAATAAGTTGATATTTTATACAATAAATAATCGTGCATAATGCGTCTGCCTGGAATAATAACTCGCCCTTATTGCACACCTACCTAATCATAACAACTATTTAGAATTTATTAAATATAAATGAAACTTGCAGTGTTTCAGAGATAACTATTTAAATGGAAACCATCACAACAATTCTCCAACCACAACTGGACCTTCTTTTTTTATTAGTGGTCTTTGGATTACCAGTGACCCTTCTAAATTTTTCAAAATTTCAAACTTACATGATTTTATTTATATAAAGCGTAAGAAAAGACAAAGCAACAAACCTTATGGACCTGTGTTCCGGTTCCAGCACCACTAGCTATCTTTTTGTTATTATCACTCATTCGTGTTAAATGGCCTGGCCTCAATTCAACGAACAATCCAGCAGTAGCAGTACCACGCTCGATATCACAGTTCTTTCCAGCAGCTTCAGATTCGCTAAAGGCTGATGTTATACCACACAAATCTAACAAACTCATCGTAAACCAAGTCAACCAAGACCAAAGATCTCTGGCACATTCTTTGATCCAGCACCAACAGAACTGAACACGATTACGTAAATCTTCCATTTTCTGGATTACAATGCGAAGAAAAAGTAGAAAATACAATTTAGTAAGAAATCAGCCAAAGATGACGTTCAGTAGAATAAAGTGGCTAATGAACCACATGCGGCACTAATAACTAGCAGTTTCAAATCTAAGACAATTTAATAGGGAAAGATTGAATCGGAAGAAAACCAAACTCCCTGATATGACCGTGATGTTAATCATAAAAAATCCTCTCGAATACAACATTCCATGACAGTTAGATTTGTACGGTTTCTTCTCCGATTACGAATGTAAAAAAATTTAGTCTCCTGGTTCCTGATTTTCAGAAACGGTAAAAAGAGTAAGAAATTAGTGAGTAAGAGAGCAACGAGTTATCCTCGTCGTCTAACAAATTATCTTCAAATACAAGGCAGATAATTTCTGGTAGCTGAGTGACTTCCGGCCGGCCACACTGCGAGGAATAACCGAACATGGAGAGACACCTGCCCCTACAGACAACATCAGGAAGAGGCGTCCCCTCTGTCATCACGCCCCAGCCACCCACCTCATTGGAAGGCGACATCAATGACGACGACACTATCAATGCATCTCTCTCAATAATGTGTGTGTACACAAACAACAGTACACCCTATCTATGTCAAATGAGGCAATTTCAGATGTGCATAGAATGAAAGTTGAAGAGTTTCAGAGAAAAGGATTAAACAACAAACAGCAAACAGTAGTGCTAATGCTATAGGGGAACAATTACACTCAAAGTTAAAGATCTAGTCTTTCAGAACATAATGGCAATGGGAAATCATATTCACAGATCATCTCAGCATGGTCTGTTATTCTGGTTGCATTTCGTCCAACATTTTCAATTATTCCACTCCTGATTATCACCTATCAGTAAATGAACATACACATCGACCATCCATACTCAGTACTTCTCATTTTCACTATTTTAGTAAAGAAAGGTTTCTATCATCATGCTGATTAATTCCGATGTAAAATCTTTCCAGAAGACTTTTGAAAAAGCTCCTGAACTTGAACTTTTTCAGGATATTAAAAGCTATATTTAAAACTTTGAAATTCATATGACAGTCTATTCATTTTTGTGACAAATCGCTTTGCATACTTCCGATTCCTAAATTATTGGTTTTAATCATTTACGTGTAATATTTCATAGGCGTGAGTGTGTGAAATTACAAATCATCCTTTATCACAGAATTTAATAAAATCGCAGCCGATGTCGTTGTCAGCTCTTGTTGAATGGCCGTATCACCCTTTCCCGTTCCGTTTCTGTTTTTTTATTTATTATGTCTTCGAAAACGATGTTCGTCTTTTTCCCCGAAATATATTTGTGGTTAAAAGTGCAACTCATTTTACAGTACAGAAGAAAACACTACAGAATAAGAGTGTAAGCATGTAAGTCACTTAGTCGGCTCTTAACAACTAGTCAACTCAATCCTTTGTTTTGAGCTATGCGATGAAAAAAAAAAACTTCAAAACTGAATTAAAATAAACCAGAAGACACAATCCTGGCTACATTAGTCTTTTTATACAGAAGCAATTTCCAATAATTCCTAATAAAAATAAAAACCGAGCAATGACATTAGACTGTGTTCGCATGGAATATTCCACAACGACGAAATTCTTATTCGGATTGAAATAAACACTGATTTTGACAAGAGGCACAATTCACAGAACTTCATGTTCAATATTAATTTAAACAACTGCTATAGCTTATTACACAAATTGCTATTGTATGACAATAAATAATCCTAATTTTTCTTATCGTATAAAAATGGAGCTAAAATTAAGTGAAATAATACTAAAGGAAGTGATCTTTGTTGACAGAGAAAAAGAACTAAAGCAGAGATATTGATTTGTTCGATAAAAAGATAGTAATATATTTTCGTGCATTATCAAGCGGCTTGTATTCTTTCATTTGACAATAAACTATTACTACGTGGATCGGAACTGGTTTATCAATCAAAAATAAGGGGGAGAAACAAAAATCGAAGTAAGACAAATTGGGAGAATTAATTCCGAATTATCCTCATCCGATGGCTCAGAATTTCACTTTTCTTTTCAGTGAAGCTAGAAATGAAAGCGATGAAAAGAATTCTGAATGAAGCAATGAAAAGTCGTAATAATTTAAAGGAAAGCATTTTGAAGCAATCATCATTTTAAAATATTTTATAATAAAATCAATAAAGAGTAAAGATATATTGCTTTGGAAATTCTCGCCATTTTTAAGAAGTTGGGGCAAAACAATTTTAAATTTGTTTCTATCATTTTTTTGATTGGATGAATTTTTTAAAATGATGCTCGAGGTTATTTTATTTCCAAAACCACTGTAATGCTTCCTTTAAACTATCCTTTGAAGTGATCCTTTTATTTTGAATTTGTCATGTACCTACTGCTGAATTGCTTTAAATAAATCAAAGCAATCAAAAAAGAGAGATGAAGTAATAAGTTGGGGTGATAAATGCTCTGCGAGTAAGTGAGAAGTTTGAAAGTAAAATGCAATATAATCACAGCTACCATCATCACATTAACTCATCTCGCAACAAAATCGATGTTCCATTGGAAACCTTTGCCCGTCAAAATATGAAACAAAAAAAGAAAAATCATTAGAAATAGACAAAAAACAGAGCTTAATCAAACATCATTTAATCATGATAATCATATAATTAATAAGCATGAACAAAACTTGCAGACATGAGAATTTTTGAATAAGCTTCTACTGACTTCTATTTTTTAATCTTTCACAAGGGAACAGAGCATTTCAGAGGTATTCAGAAATATGATCATTTGGAAAATCGATCCAAACACACGAAAATCTTTGGAAGAATAATCTATTGACAATGGTTTACATTCCGACAAATTTCAATGAGACTTAACTGTAAAAAATGCTACTAATCGTGGCATAGTGTTACAGGATCAATAGTAGCGTTTGTTTGTATATTCGACAACTATGACCTAGAGGTAAACGTTGTGATAAAGTTTTATGAAAAACTGGACTATTCAACTTGAAGCGTCACTGCTAATGTGTAATTTTGGATTACAAACATAAAAAGAAAGATAAGCTTAAAGGCAGTAAAACAGAAGTGCATTTTCAGCCGGGAATTATCAAATATATTACTGAACCTTATAATTTAGAAAAAAGCACAAAAAAGAAACGGAATACAAAATTTACCCACCGTAGAATGAATAAGTCAGATATATTAGCTGATATTTTTGGAAACCGATTAGTGGAACTGTTAAATTAATTCCTGGCACAACCTTAGACAATTTAACCATACCAAGAAGCTTAGTGACTAACTGCAATACAATCTCCGTACAAGCAATTCAACTTCCAATAACGTTTCCCAAAAAAGCGCTTAATCAAGATAAGAAAAATATTTCCTAAATGAGAAACGCGTCACTGCTCAGCAATAAGGATGGAAAAACACTGTAGAGAAGTCGCTTAATGGTTAATGGTTAATGGTTAAGAATAATAATGCAGTCATTTTCAACGATGCAAGCCACTATTTTGTTTGACAAGCGCGAAATATCGAAATTCACATGTCATCTAGGAAAACGCTATGAATATGAGATCATGAAAGAAACTCTTACGGTGAGATAGAGTTGAAAATGATGGAACATTTCGTTTAGATTCATTTACTACATTTCCATCCTGAAAAGTCAGCTGGTTGAATGGGAGAATGATTAGGTGAAGCATACCCATCTTCTCACCAGCTGAAAAAAAAGTATAATCTAGCCCTTCTTACTCTCTTTCACTTGAATTCTCTCCTTCTGGATGTCTCAAATAAACGCAATTAAATTAAAATAGATTATAAAACTCGTTAGCAAGTTTCTGAATTCTATAACACCTGTAAACACTACCAAAAAGTTAGAGCTTCACTTTTACTTTGGCATCAATAATTAAAAATCAAATGAACACAGAACTGTGTTCCATTCAAATACGATTTCATTCACAAATGTATGTCAGTAAAAATACATAGCAGCATGCACACTAAGGAACACGTTCGCTAGTTAAAAGCGAAAGAAAACAGAAAATGTTTGAATAGATTTTGAATTAATTGTAAAAAATCTTTCAATATTTTAAGGAATGAACAACTTTGGAATTTCGGTCAATCCAGTACCGATAAAAAGATCCTAAGCAAAATTTTTTTTCTTGCCTTTCGAAAAAATTCAATTTCCTTCATGCCTTTTCTTCCTAATAAATGTTTACTATAACTGAGAGAATAAAATGAAGGGTACTTTTGCACTTAGTAGATCCAAATTACACAGGAATTAAATAATATCACATCACAGAAATGAAGGAAACAAAGACCACTGAGAGCCACTGCATTTCCCAATTGGAAAACAACAATTCTTGTCAACAATGATGAACAAATCTTCTAAAAAGCAAAAAATATCATAGCTGAGAAAATTTCCTCAATATCATTTTTTTTTCAAACCAATACACATTTCCTGACAGTCTTTTCATCAGAAAACTAATTATATCGCTGCTTAATATTTGATTCCTGTTCACTCATCGAACACTTCCGGATGATTACCTCCGGAAGTAACTACTGATATGGGAATGTAATCATCTTCATCTCGATTCTTCTTAAATCTCTCTTTAGAAGGGCCACCTTTGAGTCCCACATTCCAATTCGGACGTCGAAATAGCGAATATGGACGTTTTGATTTGCATTTTTGATGATCCAAGAACTGATAGGAGGAATGCGATGGTAAATTTTTGACATATTTAATGGCTTCAAGATCTTTCTGCTGGGATGATTCAACAACGAGCCGTCTTTCAAATACCTGTAACAAACAGTTTAATATTTCGAGCAGTTTTATGAACACTTAATTGGAAAAAAAAAAGTTCAGCAAATCCCGATAAATGTAAATATCATTCGAGTAGACAACAACTGTAGATATTAGCTTGATTAAGGATACAGATTAGTGTTATCGTACGTTCCAAAATAAAGTGAAAATGAAACTCATATTCTTACATATCATACGGTACTTCTTTTCTTAGG